ACTAGTGTGCCTGGGTGTCCCCAAGCAGGTTATATGCAAGAAGATAGCCCAGGGATAACATACATTTTGAAAAGGGATTTCTCTATTGAAAGCATTTTTTAAAATCCTCAAACATGATGGCTTCCGGAAGTGAGGACAAGAAGGGAGAGAGTAGAGGCTTATTGGGGAAGTGGAGACACAAAGAGCAAAGCTAGAATGATGGGTAAGGTGACCATCTACATAATGTGACCTCTAAGGGCCTACTGACTTAAGATTCTATCATGAAAAACTCATTCCTTTGCCTTCAAACTTTTGTCTCCTGTTAAAATGGAAATACCTGTGAATCACATCTGACTGGCTGCATCATATCCTTACCCGAGAACACATTGTGATGGGGTGTGGGGAAAGGTCTGGAAAAAGATGGGTGGAAGGGTGAGAAGTGGTTGCCAAAGGAAGAAACACGCTTAGCAGGGCATCATGCAGACAATGGCAGCTGGACAAAAATTGCCAATTTTGATTTTCTCTCAGCTCAAAACTGAGACCAACCATTTAATATTCTACTCTTTCCCCCCTGACTACCCTGCTGAGGAGCTTCTTGGCTCATCCTGGCCAATGATGCTAGCTCCTGAATGGAGAAGAAAGCAACAGGAGATCCACCTCATCGCCAGGGAGACGGCCTGGTGGTCTAGGCTGGCCCAGAGAGTGAGGACTCTGAGACCCAGCCTGAGGATTTTCCTCTAACTCACTGTGCAGCCTCCAGCCAGTCTTCAAACAGCTTTAGTTTCCTTGTGTGTCAAACCAAGATAAATACCTAACTGCCCATCTCTCTGGGACATTGTAAGCCTTCACTGCTGCCACTTTCATTAACATTTGTCCAAAGACCCTCAGAAGAAAGCTTTTGAAGAGTTTTAAGACTAATTATGTTTACTGTCAGCATTATCATTATGATATTGGGGCTTAAAGTAACAGTAGCCAGAAAGAAGAATGTATCAGGAGCATGGGAAAACGGAGAACACAGAAACTTCACTCAGGGAAGCAGTATTTGTAGTGGAAGAGAAACACAAAAAGGGGTTTGGGGTTGGGGTGCAAAGGAGAGAAGTCTGCAATTGATACCAGATGCCATCAGAAGCTAACGACCTGACAAACACCACTCTCATAAAACAAATTCCTTAAAAAGGAAGCAAATGGAAATATAAGCTAGTGAAAGAATTTGCAGCAGCTGCCCTAAAACCATTTCTCACTTCATAAACAGGTCTGGGTTTGATGCTTTTTTTTTTTTTTTTTTTTGTCTTGGTCTTATTTCATGCCACTTTCCCTCTTTTCTATCATCCCCTGTCTCATTCTTCCTCCCTTGCTGCCAAGGCTGGATGGACTTTTAATACTGGTAGTCATAGCAACAGTAGTTAATGGAACACCATCTTGATGGAAGGAGGCTCATTCAGAGTATTTGTTTTGTGTCTTATCTCAGCACGTATTTGTCCTCAGTGATGACATGGATGAATTGGACGGAGTCACTGGAAAATAGCACGTGCTATTATTTCACATTAATTTCTTGGCAGTGAGCTGACATGAACCAGAACTGTTAATGACTCTCTGTTTTCCAGTCTTCTCTGCTTAACACGCTGAAGAAATATTACGTTTTGTGTACATCAAGGGCATGTAGTATCTGTGGAACTTGAAGTTCTTTAGCATCACTAATGAGGTGTTCTGATCTCATTCCATGAAGGACCGTCAGGTTTCAGATTCCTTATCCAGCTAGGCTGAATAAAGACTCGGAGACAAAGGTTTATTTCCTGTATTGCATACCTAATTAGCAGCATTGGATTTGGAGAATCCATGCTGACAATTAACAGTCATCCCCCCGCAATTCATGTATTCCTCCCTTCATCAGGCTCCCGGAGTGATTCTGAGGGAATACTACACCTTCACAGAGAATAATCAGAGCTTAAAGGAGTAAAAAAGTTTCCTTCATACCACTCAACTCCAATTCCTCCATCCTATACCTAATAAGCATAGGTAAAAGAAATGAGAATGTCACTGACATATAACTTAAATCCCTGACGTGTAACTTAAACCCCATGGGTACAAGATCAGGGGCAGCAACTTTAGCATATTTGAATCAAATCCATACTTTTTGGACTAGTGCTTTTTAAAGCAATTCTCAATTATTTCAAGGCAGTATGTTCAATTCAATGACATTTTATTTTCCACTTTTTTATTTATTTATTTACTTATTTTTGGCTGCGCTGGGTCTTCGTTGCTGCGCGCGGGCTTTCTCTGTTTGCCGCAAGCGGGGGCTACTCTTCGCTGTGGTGCGCAGGCTTCTCGTTGCAGTGGCTTCTTTTGTTGCAGAGCACAGGCTCTAGGCGTGCGGGCTTCAGTAGTTGTGGCTCGCAGGCTCTAGAGCGCAGGCTCAGTAGTTGTGGCACACGCGGCTTAGTTGCTCTTTGGCATGTGGGATCTTCCTGGACCAGGGATCAAACCCGTGTCCCCTGCATTGGAAGGCGGATTCTTAACCACTGCGCCACCAGGGAAGCCCCTATTTTCCACTTTCTTATATTGTTGCCCAGCTCCTTGATAAGGTCGTTGGCTGCTAACACAATTCAAGGGCAAATAGAACAAATTAATGATGACGAGACTCACAGAAGCCATTTTAACTAATATTTAGTACCACTGGCAAAAACATCATGAGCAAGAAAATATCAGAAAATATCTTCTTGTTCTACACCACTAGACTATGAGTTCTTTAAGGACATATTTATTTTATCCCCAGTACTGAGACCGATGCCTTGCCAATGCTAAGTGCTCAGTAACTGTTTATGAATGAATGAATGAATAAGTAGGGCAAGATGGTTGGATCATTTTTTTTTCTTTTTTAACGTCTTTATTGTAGTATAATTGCTTTACAATGGTGTGTTAGTTTCTGCTTTATAACAAAGTGAATCAGCTATGCATATACATATATCCCCGTATCTCCTCCCTCTTGCGTCTCCCTCCCATCCTCTGTCGTCTGATAATGATATTTTTGTATTTCATATCCCCACCTATCACTATAAAATTTAACAAATTTACCATTTTGATAGCCATTGACTTACTTTGATGTCTATGATATGAACAAATTTAATTCAGCAGACACTTACTGTAACTCCTACAATGAGGTGTATGGTGAATACAAAAGTGGGTAGGAGTCAGTGTTTGTCTTCAAGAGTATCATAATCTAGTTGGGAGATTCAACAGCATTTAAGAGACAGATACTAATTGCCTTGTGGATCAAAGGGTGGATAAGTTAATTAACTGAACAATCAAATGCATACATGACTATACTAAAAGATAGAGTAAAAGAAGCGTTAGAAGAGTTATTTTTTAAATTTCCCTGAGAGGTTCGAGGGAGGAAGATATCTGGAGGGGCTTCTTGGAGAAGGAAAGCCTTTTAGAAAACACAACAAATTGAGCAAAAGTACAGAAGTGGGAAAATTAAAACATGTGGCTGGTTCATAAAAAACAGGCCACTGAAGGTGGGACTTGGGCCATTTGCAGTGGAGCAGTAGAGAGAATTAACCCAGGAACAATAACAACCCTGTGGGATATGCATCATTATTATCCCCATCTCATGGGGGAAGGAGCTGAAATACCGGGGAATAAGTAACCAAATCATACAAGTAGTAGTAAATGGTGAATCCAGGATTCAAATTCACACAGCCTGGGGGCAGTTGCTCTAAATTTTAATCTCTGTTGTTCTGCCTTGATAAGAGGGTAACCCTCTTTCGGCTCTGTTGCATGCCCCCCCCTCTTTTTTTTGTATAGTTGATTTACAATGTTGTGTTGGTTTCAGGTGTACTGCAAAGTGAATCAGTTATACATATATATATATATATATATATATATATATATATCTCCACTCTTTTTTAGATTCTTTTCCCATATAGTCCATTACAGAGCACTGAGTAGAGTTCCCTTTGCTATACAGTAGGTCCTTGCTAGTTATCTGTTTTATATATAGTGGTGTGTATATGTCAATCCCAATCTCCCAATTTATCCCTCCCCCACCTTACCCACTGGTAACCATTAATTTGTTTTCTACATCTGTAACTTGGTTTCTGTTTTGTAGGTAAGTTCATTTGTACTCTTTTTTTAGATTCCACATATAAGCGATATCATATGATATTTGTCTTTCTCTGTCTGACTTACATCACTCAGTATGACAATCTCTAGGTCCATCTCTAGAGATTGCATCGTTGCTGCTGTTATGGTCCCAGCAGAGCCTCCCCAAACCCTGGGGAGTTACCTATCCCTCCTGTTCCCAGTTGACTAGCCCTTGAGATCTGGACAGCAGTTCTCCGCTGCTGAGATAATGTCCTGGAAGCATGTAGAACAACGTCAGGCATGTGGCAGGGATCTGATATGTGTGCGTTTCTTCTTTCTGCCATGGGCTCAATTTCTGATTAGCCGGTGCTGATATTCAATGGTGTATGCCAGTTGTCAAAAATATTTCCATGACAATCAGTAAATAAATGTTGCTTTTTCTGCCATCTCAAACAACCAGGCCCTTCCTACAGGGTCCCCTGCGACAAACCTGTGATCGAACAACAGAAAGTTTAATGCCTGACACAACCAGGGGCCTCCAGGATTCACTCCTGACCTTTGTCCTATGTCTGTTCTGATTGTTTGGGGCCCAGAGTACTGGTTATGAAATATTTCAAGGATTATCCTCTGATCTTTTCATTTCTGATGTCATCCAGAGCTCTTGAGACATGCTCCCCACCTGTTCCACCATCATTTTGTCCTCCTGCAAGAGCCATAGAAAGCCAGTTCATAATCACTTCGTAGATGATATTGTTCTTGTTCATTTTATGTTGTGTGGTTCCAGGTCACATAGAAGGAAGTAATGAATTTAATATAGGCTTTGGAGAAACAATGTTCTCTTTGGTTTAGAGGCACTTCCCAGAGGGAGATGCAAAGCCTTTGCTGCTGCCTATCAGTTCTGAGTCCGTTTAAGATACTTCTGTTTCTGTCATCTCCAGCTGTGCCCATCGGCCCTGTGGGGAGCAGGGCAGCTGTGTGCCATTGCTGCTTGATCACGCGGATGTGGTGAACTGTACCTCTGGTGGCCCAGGTCACATGAAGTGCTCTATCACCTGTCAAAGGGGGTTTGACCTTCAGGCCAGCAGTGGGCAGTACCTCAGGCCCATGCAGGTGAGTTGGAAACCCGTGGTCATCAGGACCAAGTCCCTGGGGAGGGACAGTAGGCATGTTCCTCCCCCTGGCTGGATGGGGAAAGGCACGTGTTTCTAAATCGTCTGAAAGGAAAAATGAGGAATCTAACAAGCAAGGAGAAGCATGGCTTTATAGAAATGCAAGGTATATATAAGAACAGGTACAGTTTCCATTAGCTAGGGTGTCAGTTTCTCTCCAGGTGGGCAGTAGGCAGGAACACTTGTTCCATCCTTCTCCCTTGCTTTTTTATCTTCCTATCAGAAATTATGACCCCCACTTTTGGCTTCAAAATGGGAATGCTGCAGTTTAGACCTGTCCACAATTTGCAGGCAAAATAGTTTGCAGTCAGGTTGTTTGTGGTTCATTGTCTGACTGCCACGCACCAGCCCCCTTCCCTGCCCCCACCAGTCCTCCTTACAAGAAGACTGGAGGAAAGAGTCTGATTTTCTTCCTTCTGTTACTGAGGTGGGGATTATATCATGATTCTAGCTTTAACTGAATTTTCCAAATTTCTACAAGCTACCATGCACCACTTGAAGATTTCAAGGTGATCTGAAGGTAGTAGAATATGTTAATGAAGAGTGTAGTTTGAGAGACAGAGCTGGAATGAAATTTTGACTCCACTGTTTAGTAGATATGTAATTTAGGTAAAGACAAACACACAAAAGAAACTAACCACTTTAGGTTTGTTTCCACGCTTGTAAAATAATGAAATCAGAAGGATTTATGTCACTGGGTTATTTTGATGACTGACTAGACATAATTTACCAGCTTCTAGCAAAATGATAGGCACCTAGCTCTCTGCAAAGCTGCCATTATGATGAGCGTGATAATGTATTCTCAACTAAGAATTTTATTTTCCATTTTTCCTTTAGAGAGCTTTCAGTACTCTACAGAGGAACTTGAAAATTGAAATCAACCATTAGAAAACATGAGCACAATATGAGATAGAGACAGGATGCATTAGGCAAAAAGGTAATGATGCTTGAGAAGAAGATGAGAAAGATGAGGTATGATGAGGGAAGAGTGGAATCACGATTGGTTAGTCAGGTATCAATGGTTTGGAAGATTGGAATTGTTTTCATCTTGTACCAGTTGACTGCTTAGCAGGTTGTAGATCTGTGGAAGAATTTCACTTGCTTAGACATGGTCAGGATTTAAAGACACAATCTTTGGTTTCAGGTGGTTTAGGTTCTGCATAGAGAGAGACAGGTTTAACATACCTTGAAGCACCAACTCCTTGGTCTATGATGCTTTGGTGAGAAGGGCAGAACTCTTATCACCTGCCCTTAACTCAGCTTAACTCACACTAGAAAAGAGATGGAAAGAAGGAAAAAGAACAAAAACAATGTAGGAACTAAATACATTTTTGCGATATAGGTAAAGAAGGGGAGAGAAGAAAAGATGGTGTTTGCAATTCATTAAAATTAGGAACAAGTTCAAGACAAAATGGTTAATACCTAATGAAGCCAGGAGAAAAACCAGGCAATATATGTAGAGTTTGAGAGACATTCTTGAAGTGATCATTGTGGTTCAAGCCAGTCTTCCAGGCTGTGATCAGTGTGGCAGGGACAGAGTTGGGAGAAGGAAGGTGGGAGCTCACCTTTCGCCAACCAAATGGTGGAGTCAGCAAGCACAGCTTTCCAGCTGACCACTCCTGTCACCCAAGGCTGGCCCCACTAAACAGATTGTACGATCCCGGCTCCTGATCACAAGACAGCGGGGATGTTTGCTTTTTGTTGACACAAGAACTTAAACTAAACAGAAAAATGTGTCTGGCTTTGAATTGGGCTCTTCTGGCAGGCAACAGGGAACCACTGGAAAGCAGGGAGGAGCAGCCAGCCAAGAGTGGGTGTCAGGGGTGACAGGTGCTTTCACCAGTCATTTCACCTTTGGCTTCGGTGCCACTGTGGTCTCCTGGTGGGATGGCTGGCTGAGCCGCAGAATCTCCCCACTCTCCCTTTGACTTTTGGTAACCCATTGGCTAGAATGATGGCTGTGCTTTTTCCCAAACAAGCCATGAGCATCCAGATCTCTGAGTGCCTGCTCATCCTGTTCCCCTCACTCTGAATACTTTCTTCTGCCTGCTTCCCCTCTGCTGCTGGGAAGTCTCGCTCATCTTTCAAAGGCCAGTTCCTGAGTTACCTACCCTGTGCACCTCCCCGCAAACCCTCTCCCTCCTACCCAAGTATGGGCAGTCCCTCCTCCAGCCCCTGTAGTGCTATCTCACCACCACAAAACAAGCATGCATATATTATATCGCTGTATTTTTTTTTAACAGCAATTTAAATTTTCTTTCTCCTTGGTCCACGTTTTCTCCTTCTTTCATTTTATCATTTGCAGTCTTTGTATTATATTCTCTTAAATCATTACAGGTGGAAGTAGGATATAACAAAAATATATCTCCTGAATTTTCCTTTTTTACTTTCTTTCCTCCCTTCCTCTCTCTCTCTTTCTCCTTCTTTCCCTTTTTCCCCCTTCAATTGTTTTCTGATACATTGCTCCAACCTATGATTTGCTCTGCTGGTAGATTATTAGCTCCTTGAGGGTCTTGTTTATCCAAACCTAGTAAGGAATCTGGCCCTTCTAGGTGTTCAAAAAATGTCTCCTCATTTATTTCATGGTGATGAATTCTAGGGCTCCCCTACAGAAACCGCAGGCCGAGGGAAACAGCTGGAATCTCTCAAACTTAACTACAAAGTTTGGAAGATGCCTCATATGCATTAAGTCTCAGCGGTTCTTAAAGCCTAGGCACCATTCTCAGAAGAGACAATTATGTTTAGTAGCATTATCTGTAAAGGTCCCAGCAGGAAACAGATGACACACTCAAAGGTGGGCAATTTGAGGGACTTCAGTAAAGGGACCACTTCTAAAGGTGGGGGCAGAATATAGGAAATTACAAGGAGATGGTGCAGAATCCCAGGGTGAAGGGGTGATATCTCCTGTAGGCCTGAAGAGTTGACTATAGAGAGCAGTTAGCAGAACCCCTGGGAAGAGAGTGCAGGAGGTGTGTGGAGATCGCTGCCAAAGGGTGCAGCCAACCTACAGCAAGCCCTAGGGAGGGAGTAGCAAGGATCAGCACCCTGACCTCCCTTGCCTCTCTCCCTCTCCAGTCTCCTGCCACTGTTGCCCTGGGTGCTAAACCAAACACAAGTCAGAGGCATGAAATCTACAGGAGCCAGCATCCCAGGGCAAGGTGGAGAAGGGTAGAGAGTGATCTGGAGAAGCACATGGAGGATAGCCAAGAGTTGGCCTTTAGGAGAGTCTTCATTTAAAGGTTCCCTTACACTAACATTTGTCTTTCATTAGCAACATACCTGGGTAGTGTGAGATAGTGCACTAAGACAATAAGGCATAAAGAGGGAGAAAGACAAACTAATTTTGCCTGTTGTGAACGTTTGCACAAATAATCATCAGGACTCTTTCAAAGCCTGGAAACTGTTTTGATAAGCCTTTTTATGTCACCTTGACAGCAGAAAATTTTCTGTTTCTAGAAGGAAATTCTGCTCACATGTTCCTCTGGGCACTGGGACCGGGCTGTGAGCTGCATGCCCCTTGACTGTGGTGTCCCCGACCAGTCTTTGGTGAACTATGCAAACTTCTCCTGCTCAGAGGGAACAAACTTTCTGAAACGCTGCTCCATCTCCTGTGTCCCACCAGCCAAGCTTCAAGGTATTGTCTGGCCAACCAGGAGCTGTATGCAAGTTCTCTTCAGGTTCTCTCTCTTCGGGGGTACTTTGGGGATCTTTTCTTCACCCCAGTGCCCTTCCCATTTGGCTCTGCTGTATCACCTTCTTCTGATAACACAAGCAAAGTCCCAAAGGGCAATACCATTCCTTGTCCCAGAATGCCCTGACTCAAGATCTCATTAATGAAAGATGCTTAGACTTTCCCATTTTTATTTGACTTTATGTCCTCTGGAGTCAAGCCAACTAACAGTTTTCTAATAATATTAATAATCCAGATACCCTTTATCATTCACATTTTTAAATTTAATATTTACAACCATCCTATGAGTTAGGTGCTTTTCATTCTGTTTTAGAAATGAGAGCATAGTTACATGAGCTGTACTGCTAGGAAGAGATGAAGACCCCACATCTTGCTCTTTACCTCCTGGACTTAGGTGCGCCTAACAGTGTTTGAGCAGGCTTGTTACAAATGCAACCTCCTGAGCCTCATGCTGACAGATTCTGATTTAGTAGGTCTGAGGTGGGTTGGTGATGCTACTGTGGGGTGTCCATGGATTGCACTTGGAGAAACCATGAATGACGTTGAGGCATACGGTATGGTGTTGAAGTGCAGAACTTTGCATCCAAACTGCCTGAGTACAAACCCTGCCTCTGTTCTTACTAGCTTGGGCAAGTTACCTAAACTCAATTTCCTCAGCTGCAAAACAGGGGATAATGATGGTATCTGTTTCATAGGGTTGTTTGAGGTTTACACAAGTGAATACATGTGAAATGCTTAGAGCGGTGCCTGGCATATAATGAGCGCAATAAAAGTGTCATCTAGTATTATTATAATGCTTTCCACAATACTATCACTACTCTATTTTTATTATTTATAGTGAGGAAGTGAGGTAATGATTTGGTTGGTAGCTCTCCTTTCATTCAGGTCATGAAAGAGCTTTCTGACCTCTGTGCTGTATAAGAGAGCACAGTAGACGCTCTGTGGGCACAAAGATATAGGATAAACATTTGACCTGAGGTTTTAGAGAAGCTGCTCCACAAAGAGTAACGTGACTTTCCAAGAATGACGGTACGTTGACAGGTCTTCGCTCTCTCTGCTAGTATTTTATTTCTGGACTCTCTGTTCTGAGCATCTTGTGCTTCTCTTTCTTGGAGTCAGGACTGAGCCCGTGGCTGACCTGTCTTGAAGATGGGCTCTGGTCTCTCCCTGAAGCCTACTGCAAGTTGGAGTGTGATGTTCCCCCTGTTATCCCGAACGCCAACTTGCTCCTGCCTCACTGCCTCCAGGGCAACCATGATGTGGGCTCCATCTGCAGATACAAATGCAAACCGGGCTACTACGTGATGGGAAGTGCGGAGAATAAAGTCAGGAAGTAAGTTGGATTGTTCCTGGTCTTTGCAGTTCTCTCTACCCTTGTACCTTGCTCCTGTTCCTTCATTTGCAAATCCTAGACCACTGTTTTGGAAATAATATTAAGACCTTCTGGGTTGTCCATTGTTTGTTGTGTTTGTTTTTCTGTATAATCTCTCTTCACCTGCACAGGTGTGTTCCCCAGTCATGACAGGCAGGCTGGCCAAGTATGCTTTCTGTAAAGATATTCTTTCTCATAGGAGATTCCACAGTCTCATCTAGGTGTTTTTAAAAGAGTCTCTGCCCGAATTATTATTTTCCTTGAAAGTAAGTGTTATGAGCTTCTTAAGCAGTACACACATCACCCGAATCCAACTCTGTCCTAGAACATCCTCATCAGGACAGGTGGAGGCTCACGGTTGTGGCTATGGGAGAAACTGTCTGGGATGGTCCCCACCTCAGGTATTTGTTGGTTATGTGATGCCGGGAAGTCTTCTTTCTCTGCCTCATTCTTCCTCATCTGTAAAATGAGGATAATAATAATAACGTAGGAACTAAATAAATTAGTATGTATAAAACATGAGTCGGGGCTTCCCTGGTGGCGCAGTGGTTGAGAGTCCGCCTGCCGATGCAGGGGACGCGGGTTCGCGCCCCAGTCCAGGAAGATCCCGCATACTGCGGAGCGGCTGGGCCCGTGAGCCATGGCCGCTGAGCCTGCGCGTCCGGAGCCTGTGCTCCGCAACGGGAGAGCCCACAACAGTGAGAGGCCCGCGTACCGCAAAAACAAACAAACAAACAAAAAAACATGAGTCAGTAAATTTATTTTTAAAGCATAAAACTCAATACATATTAGCTATTAATATTGTAATTATAGTCTCTCTGCTTTCTTTTTCCTGGATTTTGTGTGTATACACTCCTAGACCCAGAAACCAAGGGAACCTTTCTTCTGAACACATGGTGGATCAGAAAGAACAAAAGCTTACTGCATAATTTAAGAGGAAGGGTTTTAAAGAAAGTCATGCTGGGGTTCAAATCCCAGTTGTTCCCCATTTTATTAGCTGAGTAACCTCAGGCAAGTTACTTAACTCTTTGGGTCTCATCTTTGTAAGCTGGGGATAATGCCCTCACCAGAGTGTTCAGTTGAGGATTAAACAAGATAATACATATTCAGCCCAGTGCCCGGTTTGTGCTAAATGCTCAATAAATGGTTTCAGAAAAAGAAACATTTTCCGAACAAACACAAGCAAAAAAGCTTTCAGAAGAAGAAACTCCTTGTACTCAATAAATAGTAACTATTATTTTCCTACCATAAATTACGTCAGTAAAGGAGAAAATCAGATTTATTTCTTACCCAGGATTTAGTTCAAAATCTGATCATAGTAGGTATGTTTTTAAAGACTTTTTTTTTGAACTGACATAATCCCAGCCATGGCATTACCAGTGATTCCAGGAGATACCAACTTAGATTGTAAGCTAGAATTCTCTAAGGGAGCAAAAGAAAAACAGGAAGCTTACTCTCTGGCTCCAATTCGCCCTTCTCTAGTCAACATCCAGCCATCTCAATATGGGATGGATTGAGTCCGGCTTTGCCCGGAGCCTTTCACTCCCAAGAAAACCCAAGATCATATTTGGGAGGGGGAGAGGGAAGTCCCCCGTGGCAAGAGCCTGGCTAATTAGAACATGAATAAATACTGATGAAAAATTCATAGGAAGCAGCATTCTGGTTCAGTGACTCTAGCAGGTATAGTCAACAGTTTTTGACAGCTGAAAACACATTTGCATGTGATGGTCATAGGATCTAGACCAATTTGCGTCAGCATGCATTGACGGGTAGTGAGTATCCAGGTCATCTTCCAGTGAGAATGGCATTACAGCCAGCCTTCAGGCTGCTGTTTTCTTGCTCTTTTTCTTCTCTTCTTGCCTCACTTTTCACACACCTGAGCCAACTCAGGTGTCTGCAGAGCAATGCAATGAAGACTGGAGGGAGAGAGAAAAGTCTCGGGGACCAGGAGGAATTCGAGGTGGAGGCATTATTCCTAGCTCCCCTGGGCCCATGGCTGAGCTTTGCCTTGGGAACAGTGAGGCTTCCTCCATGACGATGGGCTTCCTGCTGCATCTGCATATCTGACTCCACCGGCTTCCCTGCCCCAGCAGGGGCCCACAAGGCACAGCTTTCTTTTCTGGTTGAGAAACTGGAAGCTTGCATCACAGCATCAGCATCGGTTTGGACTTTAACATTTACATTCACAAGCACCATGCTGAGGAGAGATTAAATTATTTACGGCACTGCATAAACTGGTTTTAATCTTAGTTTACACCTGTTTACATAGCCAGCAGTGGACTGGTAATCAAGTTTGCAGGTCAGGAGTAAATCACTGTCACTTGCTTCTTGTGTTTACCCAACGAACTATGTCAGCCTTGTTCCTTGCTTGGAGCCCAGAGTTGTACAGATGGAGCCCTAAAATTCTTTCTAGGACATGCAGGCAGGGGGAGAAGAAGTTGAGAGAAGCTAACAGGGAGATTAACCCAGACAGAGTGGCCACATGCTAGTCTTCTGCAGTTCTCTGAGTAGTGGAAAAACCTCCTAGGTGGTCAAATTTGCCACTTGTTCTTTGCATGACCCTGAACAATGTATGTCACATCCGCGTGTCTCGGTTTTTGCCTCCTTGACGTGAGGAGTGGTAATGATTTTTACCCAAGAGTATTGTTTTGAGGCCCAAAGCAGGTAATGTACTGAAAGCGTTTTATAAACTATGAAGTTCAATACATATGCTAGAAATTACTTTTTGTTCATTTCTTTTTAAAAGAAGGAAACAACTACCAAAATATCAGCCAAGTACATTGCCTTCCTGCTTCTTCTCAAGTCTGTTGAATATTGTTTCAAGAGAAAAAGATAAATGCTGCATCTGACTTTTCTCTTCTATCCAACCTGTTTAAGCTTTGTCCCATTGCACTTGCGGATGCAGGGAGGGCACAGCTGCAGTTGGCACTTCTTCACGTGGGTGCTCTATGCCAGCTTCGGGGTTAGGAGTGAAGATATCAGTAAGACCTAGGCTCTGGCCTCAGGAGCACACAGCCTCCATGTTCCCTCTTTCATGGACATTATTTCTCTTTACAGTGGAGCATAGGAGAGGACATGGACTACAGGTAGGCCCTTTCTCCTGGCCCCTGGATCCCTTGCCCCTTCTTCCCGGGATGTGAAGGTGACACTGCTCACACTGACTCTAGTTCCTGAAGACAAGGAGATGCAATGGCTTTGGCCTTGGTCAAGGACCTGGCCTTGAAGTCTTGGGTAGAGTCAGTATCACCCAAACTGTATGGATTCTCCAGAGGGAAAAATTGAGAAGGAGAGTAACAAAAAATTCAATAAAACAAAATGAATGCCCATTATGTAGTACAGCCATACAGTTACACGGGCATATCATGAAATATCCTGTCACCATTAAAGATGTTTAGAAGAATATGAAAGACATGAGAGAACATTCACAATACAATAAGTGGATAAAAGCAGCACATAATTATTATAAATGATACAATCCTTATTTTCCATATTAAAGGTATGTTTTTAATCATCCTTCTTCAGAAGCTAGAAGTGATTATAATATTAATAGTCGTATTCTCTAGGTAGTAGGTTTATAGGGAATATAACTTTTCTTTTTCTGCTTGTTTATATTTGCTACGTTTTCTAGACTTTATAATGAGATAAATGAATAAACAGTTTAAAAAAATAATGAAGTGAGCTAGAAAGAGGAGATCATAGCCAACTTGTGGAGGCAGAAAGTGATAAAAGAAAACTAGACAGATCTTTCTAAATAGGCAAACCAAGTGGAGACCAGCACTCCAAGATGGCAGTAAGACAGGGACGTGACCCTTCCATCCTGTGTCCAGACCCCTCTGTGTTTTGAAGACAAACACTGTCTCTGTTCTTGAAGGCTACTTCAGACCTCCTCTCCTCCAGTAACACCTCTTCCCTAACTTCCAGCAGATCACCTCACTCCCTAAAGCACAAAGGTCTGCCCATAGATAGGTGTGCAAGCTAATTGACACCTCCAAACATGTTCTCCCCCTTCTCACTGTCTAAAATGAATTATGACCAACAGGGACCTACTGTACAGCACAGGGAACTTCACTCAGTATTTCATAATAACCTATAAGGGAAAAGAATCTGAAAAAGAATATATATATATTCTTTATGTATTATATGTATATGTATAACTGAATCACTGTGCTATACACCTGAAACTAACCCAACATTGTAAATCAACTATACTTCAGTTAAAAAAAAAAACTTATTTTTTTTCTTTTAACTAGAAAAAAAACACCAAAGTGTCAATACTCTGGGCAAGTGTTATGACTCAGGGAGATTTTTTTGTCTTCTATTTTAGGATTCTTTTAAGAAATCATATTTTATAATAAATTTAAAATTTTTTAAAAAATAAAATGAATTATGAACTCCTCCACCTTTGCTCTGGATCCTGTGCCCCTTCTAGAGAATTTCTCTCAATGACCTTACCTTCCTCTTTCCTACATCTGAAGCCTCTTCCTTCCTCTCGCCTGGTTACTTCTCTTTAATTGTGCTCGGGTCTCTCCTATGTTAAAATGAAAACAAGCAGAGCCTTTTATTGACTCCATGTCCTCCTCCAGCTACCACAGCTTCCCCCCTCCCTTTTACAGTGAAACTTGGTGAAAGAGTTGTTTGTATTCACTGTCTCCATCTTGCCATCTTCTCCCTCCTTCACACTTTGACACTCAGGTTTTATTCCCATCTCTCCACTACGGCTGAGCCTGCCATGGACCGCACTGCTGTCAAATGCAGGGACTCTTTTTAGACCTTATGTTATGTGAGAATAGTCGGCTTATGTCACAGTTACCCTGTGAGATAGGATGGACCCTCCCACCCAAGTCTGGTTTGGATGTTGAAAGTAATGATGCCACACATTGACCAAGAGAGTATGAAAATGTCTATTACTCACATAATGAGGCTTTCAGGGGAGAGAAGGGGAAAATTCCAAGTTGGTCTTC